TCACTGGCAAAGCTCTGGAGTTAGGTGAAAATGCAGCTTTCCCAAAGATTTGCCAGATAGGTCAATAACAGTCTGGTGTAGGTCTTTGGGTAGGTCCAAACCCATTCTGTCCTCTCCAGTGGCTACAAGGATGCTGAACATTTTAGTTACTGTATTTCTAAGGTTACAACTTCTCAAAGCGACCATGAAGCTGAAGAGTAGAAATGGGACTAGGGAAAGTAAAAATGTCACAATGCTTCTTTTTCCTATCAAAATTTAGCTGTTTTTCTTGCTTATTTGGTTCTTAGATTGTTGTAACCATTTGATTAATTTCCAGAATTCCAGAAAAGTCACTTTTAACAATTTTTGCCAGCATTTTCATTGCCTTTATGAAGGATCAGATTGTGGGAAGGGGTCCTTATACCCTTACACAAGAAATGATTCCGCCATGCTTGGTGTTTTCACAGTCTTATAAATATTCTTCATATTTTGAGGAGCTACTGATCAGATATTTGGAAACAAAATCATCCTTTCCAGGCTTGATGTGCTTAAGATTTGTTAAATGGAACCAGATACTTGTTTATTCTAATGCTAATCTTTCCCACTACTAAAACAAGACCCATCTATTCAATGTTCCTTAATTTATTAAAGTTTCCCATCCATCCAGTAACAAAAGGATCTGATCCTTGTTCTGTGTGAGCAACAAGTAAGGTTCCAACCAGTCTTCAGGTTGTCTCCTTGTGTAAGTATACTGATTAGTGTTCTTTAATACCTATGGGGAACCCTATGCAGTTATTTTGGGTTCTCTTTCTATGCAATTTTCTTTCCATTAATATGTCCTGTGATCTCTAGTTGCCTCGGTTTCTTTCTTAGCTCTATCTGCTCATGGCAGCAAGTATACTAGACTCTGCCTCAGTTTCTCTCCCTGAACCATGGCCTGGAACCTTTCTGAAGTAGGAAACTTGGACAATCATAGTGTTCTCTTCACTGTTTTTTCACTTCTCAAAAATGACTATTCTTCATTGATTGATGTCCAGTGTTCTGAAAAATCATCATATTCTGTTTTATCTCATTTTTTTTGGTTGTTTCAAGTAGAAGGTTAAACATAGTTCTTGTCAGTCCATTTTGGCCAGAGGCATAAGTGTTCTCCATCACACATGTTTTAAATTAAATCTGCATTATTAACATTCTCTCCATTACTTCTTTAAGGTTATACCATCCACAAAACACTAAACCTAACCCAGATTTAGAGCATTTGCCAATTTGCATGCTGTAAATACTCCCACCATGGCCAATTTTAAGCTACCAAAATTTACAACATTTCTACTACAGAGAATAGTATAGATAAAATAACTTCAGGAGTGTAGATTACAGTAAAATATAGTAAAATAACTAGGAAAGAATGTTTTAGAGGTTAGTTGGTTTTTAACATAATTTATTTAATTCGAAGTGATGTAATTTGATTTTTAATAGTAGCTACATTTGAAAGATCAGCTTAGAATGTTCCTGAAAATTTAACAGATTCTTAACCATCTGTATCATATCACTGCCTCTGTGCGTATCAATTAGAATTACTGTGGAAGTGTCACTATAAATCAGTATGCAAGGACCAAAATTAATCTACCTAAGGAAGTACGCGCACACTCCCTGCTCACCAAGGGCATTGTCAAAAATTGAGGGGAAAGCATTGACAAAAACACAAAGCAAATATTTGGCCACCATCTTCTCTCCAGGGGGAAAAAAAAAAACACACTACATTCAAAATTTTGCCATTAAAATTCATTACTGTGGACTTGAAGTCTTTTTTTTATTTCTAGGAATCACCTTTTAAAATGGCAAAATATTTCCTGTGCACAGTAATATTTTCAGCCTTTTACTCAGCTAACACCTTTATGGATATTAAACAGATAAGAAAGAACAAGTCCCTGTGTCATTGGCCCACAGGCTCTGTGTTTGGCAAAGGCAGTGGTGATAGATGTAAGAGAAAACTTTAAAAAGGGAAAGAAGAAATACTCAAATTAAAAAGTGCTTTTTTCATTGTGTTTCAGAAAGTCAGCTAATGTGTATTCACATATAGGACTCGGTTTTTAAATACTATGAAAATAATTGGTGCCTTCTATTGTGGCCTGATTATCCACTAGCAGGTCATTTGAGCTACTAGCCATTCTGTCTTACCCATCTCCTTAAGAACATTCTAATATTAGTAAAAAAAATTCAAAGAAAATGATAGCAAGTCCATCAATAAACTGCATAAATTCAAAATACCTTTACAACAGTACCCATGCCAAACATAAAAAGCTAGGAATATTCAGCAGTTTGTGAAAAAAAAGGAAAACTATAATGAGGAACCAAAAAAAAATAGGAAAAAGAATTTGCTAAAGAAAACTAGGATTGTGATGAAATTAACATTTTTGACTTGAGTTCAAAATAATATTTTGCTTAGAATTTCAAAATGAAATTATAAATAGGTGATGAATCATAGCCCATTAATGAATATGTAGAACACATACAACCTTTCAAATACCTTTGATGAAGGAGAGTGCTATGAGCCAAATGCAGCCCCTGTAATCTTGATTACCAATTTCTGTTAGAAGCTGTTAGCCCCATCTGCCAAGCAGGCAATACCAATTCCAGTCACTTACATTGGTTTTGGGGGACAGAACACTGCTCACCCTTGTTATAACCATACATAAAACATCCCCTAATCACCTAATAAGGTCTCCTCATTTCCTCCTCATCCCAAACTGGGGTAAATTCTTACTGGGTGAAGGCTAATAATTTAGATTGTATCATTCTAGAAAGAAACAGGTGGAATTGACTTGTCCTCATCTGCACAGCTTTTGAATATAAATAATAGCTCTCCATATTTCTTGATTTTTCCAAGATATGAAAATACCTAAAGTGGGGAAGGTCTCTATCACTCAAAAAAATTTGTAAGCATGGATACAACCTGGGAAAAGGCCCCAAATGCAGAATCCTCTCTGGAACTTAGATGGAACATGGTGGCTCTGTCTTCAAATACAACATAAAGTAGAGCCATAAGAAGGCAAGAGGGGTAATTTACACAAAGGCTTTTGCTTTGAATACTGTATTTCATAGACCATTCCTTCATATCTCCATTTTATACTTGTGGGGAAAAAAAAACAAGTGAAAAAGCCTAGAGTGTGGAATCAGAAAACTTGGGTTATAATCCTGATTCTGTCACTTACTAGTATTTAACTCTCTCAGCAAATTATTGATTTCTGTGATGCTAAAAATAGTCACCTATTTTTAAAAAAGTAAATGATCATTCTGGGAGGTAGGCAAGAAAAAGTGAATGAGATACATTGAATGAGACAATGTATGTAAAAGAAATTTATAACCATAAAACTCTAAGTATCAGGAACCATTAAACTAAGAAGACAACTTAAAAGCCTTCTGACTCCACAGTCACATTTTATCTGGGAGAAATAACGATCAAGAGGAACCTTTCTAATGGTAGGCATAAAATCCCAAGATAGAAGTATTAAAGCCCCACATTACACAGTATATTACAAAACTTACTTATAAAACTTAAACAACTTACACAACCGCTTATTATAAGAAGTAGTACAAGATGACTAACTATATGAATAAATAACACTTTTAAAAGGACCAAGTCACTGAAAATTGTCAAAATATGGCTCCACAAATCACTGGTGGTATTCAGGTAGTATCAAGGTGTTCTGCCAGAAAAATCAATCTGTGCAAGACATTTTTTATTTATATGGACAATTTTAGTTAATGGAAAGAATTTTATCTATTTCCATTTCTTTAGTCGCAAACTTCTCTTAATCCTTTTGTGACTGCTACCAGACATCTTTGGTGTCATCATGGCTTGCTTTTGTTCATGGTTGTATATCTGTACTTACACTTCAAACTACTGGTAAAAATTTCCTGTAGCCATACTATGGTATAAAACATACTATCCCAATCTCACCTCGAAGGGCCAGTTACCCAGAAGGGAATGTGGGGGCGGGGGCAGTTAGGACAGGAGATGCAAAACAGGACAACTGTAACCAAGGGAGAATGGGAGGCAAAAAAAAAAAAAAAAACCTCTGAAAACAAGGCAAAATTTGCAGCCAAGAGGAACACAGTTTACATCACTATTTAATCCAGAGAACAAAGTATGGATGGGATAGGAAGTTGTGAAAAAAAACATCAGAGGAGGAGGAGAAAGAGCCAGAAGGTGAAAGGCCTGTTGAGCAGACTGTTGTATGTGTTCAAATGCCCCTCCATTTATTGGGGATTCAGTGCATATTGAGAAACTAATGCTTAAAATTTGGATTAAGCCTGTGGGAATATTTCAGGGAAGCCACAAGAGCATCCTGAATTCCAAGTAATCTTCCATCCACATTTGAGAAGTACTGAAGTTGTTATGAATGGCAGAGCCACAGGGGATCATTATAGGCAATAGATGTACTCTGGGTGTAATCTTAATTCATGAAATTGACACAATGGAGGGACATTGTCTCTTTGAAGAACATATTCATCACAGTCTCTATTAGAAGAAAGATCGTGAGCTGGTTCCTCTTATGATGAAAATCACAAAGATCACAGTGATTCATTAAGATGGCTCTGAGCAGAATGACTGCTATTTCTGGAAATCAGCACTCAAGAGGCTACAATCACAGAACTCAGGGAGTCAGAGCAACCCCATCTTTGGATCTTGTTCTGTTCTACCTTTGGAGTACAGAGTTATAATGTCAGACTGACCTCGGAGTGAAAGAAAATGGAGATTCTTTCTGGATTATCACCTATAAAAACTGAGAAATGAGCCTCAAACTTCATGTCTTTTAGGCTGATTCATCCTATTTGTCTCCTTGTAGTGAACAAATAGCTGATAAAAGAGTCCCTCATGTGGTGCTGTACCTAACTCAGTGGTCTCTAAGTACTATAAATGTTGCTAATACTTTGCAAACATTTATAATGTTAAAAAAATAGTTGACTTGGGTGCTGACATTGATTTTAGAAACCACCTTGCTTATCCCCTTAATTTACAGAAAAGGAAATGAAGACATAAAGAAGAGATAATGTGTCTTGCTTGATTTCATGCTTCGAATTAGTGGCAGAGTTGAGACTAGAATCCAGTCTTCTAATTCCCAGAAAACTATTCTTTAATTGCACCATTTTATACATAGAGGTATGTACCATTATTTTCAGTTTTCAGTTTTTTAAGCTGTGCTGTTGTAACATTTCAAGTACAAATGTTATATGTTGGGGAAGGCAAAGCAGTAGAAAATTAACCAGATTTGAAATGTGACCTTCTACAAAAAGTACAATTCTCTGGGTAATAACAAGGATGACCTGGTTTTACAGAACCCAATATGCAAAATGAGAAAGTTACAAAACAATCACATTGAAGGTGATTGCATTATAAGGGAATACTCAGCAGAACTTCTTGAGTGCATTTAAGCATTTAAGATCATTACTTGGCAGAACCTTCTGGGACAAAGAAACAAAGTTAAAATGTTAAAAAGCCACTGCCAAATGAAGACCAAAAAGGCAAAATAAGCACCTTTGAAATAATGATGGAAATCACAAAGAAATAGAGCCTCTTTGACAGAAACTCAGTTTACCCTGAAAATTTTAGGGCTCTAGTAACCAGCCTAATGAATGGCCTTTCTCAGTCATCCAGAAAACAGCACTATCACTTCCCCAGTCACTGAGGCTTAAACTTGAATATCATCTTGAGATTGTCCCTGTGTCTCATCTCCTGTGGTCTACCCATTATCAAGTCCTGTTGTTCTTCCCTTGAAATAACTCTTAAAATTTTCCTTCTCTCCCTTCTATTAGCATTCTACATGAGATTCCATTCATTTATGGTTAAAAATACAAAAAAAAACACATTCTTTCTTACTCTGGTTCACCATTGGCACAACCATAGGAGTCACTTTATAACACACAACTTTCTTAATCTTGTCTTCTCTAAGAACCTATAGAAAGTCCCCGGTGCCTATAAGATCAAGTTCTAGCTTCTCAACTAGATCTTCAATGTTGCCAAGTGAGTGGATGCAGTTTACCTTTTCATACATTCTTCCATTTTCAAATATTGCCTGGACTTTCCCAATTCCCACCCTTGACTTCTACGCCCACCCCACATGAAAGAGAACTATCTTCTCAGCTCCCACCTCTGCCTATCTGAATCCTACCCAGCCTTAAATTTCAGCTCAGATTCTATCTCTTCCAAATACTTTCCTAATTTCCCCTCTCAATAACTCTAGGTACTCTTGATATTTACAATTTAATTTAATGACTGGGTATAGTGGCCTATGTCCGTTATTCAAGCTACATGGGAGGCTGAGGCAGGAGGATGGCAAGATCAAGGCCAGCCTCAGCGACTTAGCAAGAGCCTGTCTCAAAATTAAAAAAAAAAAATTAAAAGGGCCATGGGTTGTAGCTCAGTGGTAAAGAACTCTGGGTTTAATCCCCATACTGCAAAAAAAGAATGATAATTTAGTGTCAGGTACACTCAAAGCACTGATCTTGTCCTTGCTTTTTTATTTTTATTTTTTCAAAATTGAACAAATGAACAGGTAAGAATTGCTATTTAACAAAGCTATTTATACAAAGTAACAGAGGGATGAGCGAATTTTCCTATAGCCTTTGATGATTCTCTATTACTAAAGAAAATGGCAGGCCATTGGTTGAAGTGTTCCCCAATCTTCCTTCTTCACAAGATGAAAATAACATTGATTGGAAAATCTTAAATGTACTTCACCCTTGATACATTTTCCATTTTTTTTTTACTGAGGATTAAATCCTGGGGCATTTTACCACAAAGATAAGTCCCCAGCCTTATTTATTTTTTATTGAGGCAGAGTCTCACTAACTTGGTAAAGCAGGCCTCAAACTTTTGACCCCTCTTCCTCAGCCTCCTGAGTTGGTGGGAATTACAGACTTGAACAAGCATGCTTAGAACATTTTTTCCATTTCTTACAGAAGCAGAGAATCTTAGGATATATAAGAGAGTAGGAACTTTGAATCATTGATCATACATTGCACATGAGAAAAACTGAGGTTCACTTCTGTTTCCTGGGAATTCTGATGTTCTTTCCCCTTAGAAAGCCACTTGAAGTAAATTAATTTAATGCCAGGCATACTCAAGACACTGATCTCTTCATTATTTTTTTATGTGTTGAGAGCTTTAAAAACACTTCTGAGTTTTGACCCAGTAATATGATTTCTGGCAAACTATATTGGGTGAATAACCATGAATGTATGTAAATATCTTTATGTATAAAATTTCCATTGCAGGCTCACATACAGTAATGTAAATAAATGAAAGAAAACCTTAAATATCTCCAAACTGGAGACTAGCTAGACACAGTATTATAGCATACCTGACCTGACCTGACCTGATCTAATGAAATATCATGTGGCCATTTAACATGATATGTTAGCATATATTAATATGAGGTATATTGTCTCAATTTCACCTCAGAGCCATTTCCCCCAAAAGGGAAATTTGTGGTGAGAAAGGCAAAGAGTGTTGTATGGATAATTATATGTGGGAAATTCCTACAAAAATTAAGTGAAGAAAACTGATAGGAATATATGTATCGAATCATTTAAGAATGGGCCAGATGCAGAAAGTCAAGGGTCAAATGTTTTCTCTTATACGTGGAAGCTAGAGAGAAATAATGAATTATTAAAAGAGAGACCTCATGAAAATAGAAGGGAGAACAGTGGAATGAGGGGAGACAAAAAGGGGAAGAATAGCAGAATGAAATCAACAAAAGTGTGTCATGTGCATGTATTAACATATCACAATGAATTTCATCTTTATGTATAACTATAATTCACCAATTAAGCTTTTTAAAAAAGTTATAAAGAATTCATGGATAGGGGAGAATGGAATGATGTAATTTAAACCAGATGATCTTATTTTTATGAGAATGTATTCATGATTTCATGGTTTAAGAAATTTTTGTAACTCTTATTTTGAAATAATTTCATAGACATAAAAATGTTGCAAAAAGTAGTACAAAGAAGAATATCATGTACCCTTCACTGCATTTCCTAATTGTTATCACAATTTTTTTACACAAGGAGTCCCTCTGCCCCACTTACAGTGGTTTTGCCAAGAAGCTCCTGGATTCCAAAGGACACTCATTTCTCATGACCTGTGAGAACTTGGTTGAAAGCCACTCTGAGACTAATAGTCAGATACAGGACTTTTAACCAATTACACTGCCTATTATTTGCTATAATCAGTGTCATTTCATTCTGCCTTTCCCTTGACTACTTCAAGTAACATAATGCAAAGTGATATTGAATATTGATCAATGGATTTAAACGCTCCTGTGCAGTTAAGTGACTTAAAAGAAGAAAATATAGGTTTTTCACTCATGTCTTCACCCTAGTGAAAATAAAAAGTATTGATCTAATTCATCTGCCAGTGATTCTACAGAACTCCCTGGACTTTAGAGAGTAGAAGAGCTTGAACAATAAAATCACTACATGTCAATTGTCATAAAAATACATTATGCAAATGAAGTTTCCAAATTTGAACATAGATATTACAAACTTTTTCCATAAAATTGAAAGAGTCACCTGTATTATAGATATTTTAGAGATATCATCCAGCCATCCAGCACTGTCCAACAGAACTTTCTACAGTGATTAAATGTTCTACATCTATACTATCCAACATGCTAGCCATGAGCCACATGTGGTTATTAAATGTTTAAAATGTGGCTGGTGCAACTAAGGAACTGATTTTATTTTATTTTAATTCACTTAAACTTAAATAGCCACATATGGCTAGTGGCTAATGTACCCGACAGTAGAGATCTAGATCCTTCTCCATCCTAAGTAGAAAATTTCTCTCTAGTACCCATAATCTCTTTGCATCCTCTCTGATGACCACATCTATTCCTAATAGCTCCAATTACAATTTATAATCATAGTACTCTGTTTTTGATGCACATTAGATTCACTTGGGGCACTATTGTAAAATGTCATTATAAGAAGGATGGGTGACCCAGATATGGCTATTTTTTGAAAGCTCCTCTGGTGGTTCTACTGTGCAGTCAGGGTTGGGAACCTTGAATCAATATAGATGACTCCCAATTCTGTATCTCCAGCTCTCAATGCTCAGCTCCATATACTGTCTAGATTTCTCCTGTTGATCCAACAAAATCTTCAAACACCGATATATCCAAACATGATATATTTATCTCTCATTTCCCTCTCTCACATACTTCAAATAGTAATTGCTGGACTTCTGCTATTTTGATATTTGTTTTCTGTATATTTTATACATGCTTTGTTCCCCACTTCCTTCATTACTGCCTTTTTTGCATTTAATTTGTAGTATAAAATTTTGATTCCCTTCTCATTTCCCTTTGTGTTACTTTTTAGTTATTTTCTTAGTAGTTACTCTTAAAGATACAGTTAGTATCTTTGAGTTTCTTGGATGTGTGAATTTAACTATTTCATCAAATATTGGTAGTTTAGAACCATTATTTCTTCAAATGTACTTTGTGTCCCTTTCTTCTTTTTATTTTGGGATTCCTAGCATGTATCTGTTAGTATCGAGTCTTAAAAATCTCTGAGTAAGTATAGTTCATTGCTCTTCATTCTTTCTAGTTGCTGCTCCACTGGCTCGATGTTTTTAATTGATATGTATTCAAGTTCATTGATTCTTTGATATATCTTCAAGTTCATTGATTTTGTCATCTACCTGCTCAAATATCTTGCTTGGCATGTGGCAAACAATACTGGAGAAGCTCCTCCAACTCTGAAAAAATTCCAGGGTTGGGGAGGAAAACAAAGACAACTCTCTGAACTAACCACTCTTCATGCAATAATTCAATACATATATATTGGCCAGTTGAAACATACAATCACAATTTCTTAAGGACAAGGTTCATATTGCTTTCTCAGGCAGGAGCAAGAAACCCTAGGAATGTGGACCATTCTCCCCAAGGCTTCATTGGTGGTTAGTAGCTGGTTCAGTAAAATTGCCAAAAACTCTTGCCAAATTTAACAACTTCTTTCTTGAAATGCTTCCCTAGTTATGGTAAGGTTTTTATTAAATTCCAGAGTCCAGAAAGTTGATTATGATGGCTTTTGCTAGTTTAATCAGTGTTTTAGTGGAAGGATGTGTTTTGGAAATTCTCTACTGTGCCATTTTTG